TCTATAGACTCTATTTTTATATCTATTTAAAACATAGAAATGTATAAATATATAGGATATTATTTATAGATATATAGACGTGATTTAATCTCTTACTCTGTGTGTATCCGTACTGTATATGTCCATATATACAATATATATGCTGTAGCATTTGTACTATACACTGCACGTACCCCCTGCTTCCATGCGCTCGCTCTCCTAGGGAGACTGGATTGCATAGGTATTTCCAGAAAACACCACTTCAGGGGATGGGGCGGGAGGGGACCGAAATAAAGCCAGATGGAAGAGGAGGGCCGTACCATCTTCCTCCCCAAAGGGCACTTTTTCTCCCTCTGGCTAACCCACAAGATCGCGGCAAAGGCTCCCAGAAATATCACAGCTCCATCCGCTTAGCTAAAGGACCCTGTGAACAGAGAGCAAGAGAGGGTCTCCCTCCAAGCAGAAGTAGGGCCCTGGGTGCCTCTGGACAAAATCTTCGTTCCTCAAAATGTGAGGAGGAAACCGTGAGCAGAACCCATGACCCAGCACCACCTCCCTCAGGAGGGTGGCATCTGGAATGGGACTGTCCCAAGGTCACCTGCTGTCCAAACTCACCATTCCCACCTAAGGAGGCCTGGCCTCCCTGCTTTCACTGCCCCAGGCTGGTCTGCCTAGGGCAGCCACTGGACGGGGCAGAGGGACATGAGGTCCAGTGTCACTGGAGCCCTCTGCACAAACTGAGTGTGGGACCTAGAAAAAAGAATGATTCTACTTGGAAATCCACTCAGACCACATGCCAAAACCAGATCCGGATCCAGAATTCCTATCCCTGGAGGGGTGGGGGTGGGGGAAAGGGAGGGGGAGGAATCTAGAAGTTCCACTTCAACCCCCAGGCCGCCTCCTGGACCCTGCGTCGGGGCTCCATGTGAACAGCAGCCCCACAGCCTGGCCGGGCCAAGCTTGTAGTCTGTTTCTTGGTCGCCACGATCATTTTCAGCCTCCTACATGCTTTTCTCTCTTTCCTCCTTCTTGATATCACGTCCAAACAAATGGGTAATATTTAAGCATTACCTTAAATAATTACAAGGTCCTTCCTCCAAATTACAGGGTCGACATAAGCAAGTCAAGGAGAGGGGGCTCAGCAAGACAACTCAACATGGAAACATGTAGCGGGGGCTGGGGCTCTTGATTCAGGGCCCAGCACCAAATCTGGCCCTGCAGACACCCTGGAGCTCAAGCCTGCTCTCATTCTCCAGCGAGGATGAGAAAGCAAGGATCTGCCTTGTACTACCGGATGTCGCAGGCAGTTGTGAGTAAAAATAAAATACAAAGCTGGTGTTTTGGATGCCGGGACTCTCACATTCAACCAGGCAGGCAGAACGTGGGGATTCTACATGGCAAGAGCTGCAGACAGGCCTGGGCTGTCCTGGGGGTTCACAGATAGCAGATGGCAAATGGGGGTCTTTTCCCTCCACGGAGGAGAAGCAAACCATCTCATCCCAAGGGCTTGTGGCTCCCGGGCTCTGCAATGTATCAGCTTGGCACAAATGGCCATGAACCTGAACTCCCTCCCCACCCCCCTCTAGGAGCCAAAGAAAGTCCCTAGTCAGCCAGCCCAATTAGGACAAGTCTCAACCCCAGAGACGAACATGTCATTCTAAGCCAGTGGCTGAGCTAAAGGGCTCTATCTCCTCGGAAGTGACCACATTTGGGATGCCAGGACGGCCCGGCCACAGCTTTTCATGCCCATCAAAGGGAGATTAGGCTACATAAGCATTTGATTCCCTAGGCTAGACCCTGTGGGTCCCATTAACCCAAGGGTCTTCCCTAAGGAGTCAGAAGAGTGGAAACTCCTATGATAGAAATCACATGCAGCATTCACAGGATGGAAGCACTGAGCCTTCTGAGAGCAACCAGGTTGAAAAAAGACCCTGTGTAAATTGCAGTGGTGTGTCACCCACATTGTTCCCTGGTTACTCCCTGTCCCGAGGCAAAGTGGCCTTCAGAGTGCCTGGCACGGCCCAGGCCTGGCTGGATTCTACAGAAGTCAACGAGCACCCAGAGTTTTAGAGTGTCTTGCCAAACCTAGAAATCCCCCCAGGAGAGCTCTACCTGCCGGAGGCTTGGAGCCCGGCTCGGCAGGTGACCACCCGCCGTCCTGTGCTGCTAGCAGCAGCTCACACCTCTAGTTCAGAGGCAGGCTACCGGCTCCCAGCTCTCTCGGGAGACACAGGGGAGAGGCTGGCACAGGCCCGAAGGATTTATTCTCCCCTCTGGATAAAAATTTGCGCTGATTTTGGCCATGGCCTCTTGAAACAGTCACAGCCCTGACTAGTACTCAGGCAGACATCAAGAATTCTCTCTTCCTGGTTTTCAAATAAGTGACCCAGGGCATGGCTCCCAATGTAGCAGGTGGAGAGGAGCAGAAGGGAAAAGGAGAAGGTGTAAGGCAATTGGTGGCTAGAAAAAAGCATCCCAACCTACTGTTTCTGGCCCCCGCCAAGGCCCCCTTGCCAGCCATCTCTGCCCTCAACCCGTCTTACTTAGCCTGTGCGATGTTCAAAGAAAGCCCCCACAGACACGATAGTTTGTGTGTGCGATGGAGACGATGTCAGGGAGGGAAAGCTGGAACCTTGTGCTTTGCAACAGTATCCCACTTGACAACAAGTACTGACCCGGATGGGAAGAGGGGAGTTGGGGGGCTGGGGAGCACACCACCTTGGAGTACGGACATGATCTGAAGCTGGGAACTCCAAAGCCTCAGAAAGAGCTTTGGGCATTTCCTTGCCAGTTCCTGCTCTCTCCTTGTTCGGAGGAGGGTGGGGAAGTCTGCGGGCCTGGGGAGGAGGCTGGCGGGTGAATGTCACCAGGCAGGGGTGCATTGATTTGTTGAAGAAGGCAGCATATGAGGCCTGGCAGTGGGACAGTTGGAGAAAACCTGTTTTTTTTGTTTCTTGTATTTTTTAACATGCTACATCACTGTTGAAAACAAACAAAAAAGTTTCAAAAATAATATATAATATATATATAATATATTTATATAATGAAAAGCTATCGACTAGCAGCAATGATTCTAAAGTTATCTTAGCACCAAGACCATAGGGGTGGGGGGAAGGGACGTGTGGAGGGTGAAGGGACTGGCAGGACAAGGAAGGGGAAGTGACATGTTCAGTGTTGATGACATTTCCACTATGGTTCTCAACAGTGGCATGAGGCCTCGGAGACAAGATAAACCAAGAAGGAAGGAAGCCACCACAGTTTTATGTCTGAGCCAAGCAGGTTGGGGACACGGGGCTTTGCCTGTGGCCAGATCACACCATCCTTTGCCCACCCTCTGCCAAGTGAGAGGGGTGGCTCCCAGCAGAACTGACCACGGACAATGCAGCTCTTCCTCCGTCCCCCAGATAGGACCTGCATCCACAGTACAGGATCTCTGCATATCAAATATGCATAAATCAGATGTGGAAACATGAACAGAAGTTTTTAACAGCTCACGCACATTTTTTTTTAAACTCCCTTGCGAGGTATACTGGTAGTTAAATGAACAAAAGAGCATTGATCAGACTCCTCTAGCTTAAACCACTACTTGCCCCAGGGAGTAGGCAAGTGGCTATTTCTAAAGCTTATATCATGGTTGTGTGTGTGCAGGTGCGTGGGCGCGCATGTGTGTGTGTGTGTGTGTGTGTGTGTGTGTGTGTGTGTTTAGGCTGTTGCCTTGAGAGTCCTGTCTGACCTCTTGTTTATACCATTTCTTTAGGACATCTCTACCCTGTTCAAAAAAGGAAGCATTTCCAGGCATAGATTCAATGCCTGGTTTCCCACTGCCTCCTGCCAGGCTGAAGGGTCTGGTACCAGCCTTGTCACAAAAGAAGGCCTCAAGCTCTAGAGACCCTCCTTTGAGTCACGCATAACCCAGGGCACAACTTGCATTGACATCTCCTGCCACTGAACTAGAGCAGGCATTTGATTATTAAAGGAATAATAAAAAAAAAATCCCCAACACGTTATGTGATTATAAAGACAGAGCATAAATAATTCATGTAAATGGAATACATACTTTTCATTTTACTTTGCTTTTAGCCAAAAATCACTGCCCTGTTAGGGTCTGGATTTCTTGGCTTTTCATTCCCCCACAGTCCTGGATCTGACTGGAATTATATTATTTTATCCCATGCCATATAAGAACAGGAATGCAAAAAAAAAAAAAATCCCCCCACCCCCCCCACACACCTTATCCCTTCCCCAGGATTTCAAGCTTGGTTGTAAGGCAATTTTGCCTTCAGTATAACAGGTAATTAGGATCCAGGGGGCTGGAAGGAGGGAATCCGTAACCCAGGGACCGGAGAGGAGATCGAGGTGGGGAAGTGGTGGGTGTCACAGTTTGACCGACACATTTGTTTCTAAGACAGTGAAAGAACGCTCATCACGAAATGAATACAAACCTCTGAGGCTGAAATCAGGTGGGAGGGGGAAGGAGTCACGCACCCCGATCCAGGTACAATACCCACCCCATCGGAAACCCGAGATGGGATTCAGCTCCACCAGCATGTCGACGCGGAGGCCCAGAACCCCCATTGTCGACCAAACGAGAAAAGCAAAGGCAAGAACGTAATCCCAAACCCAAACCCCTCAACCCCCAAGCAAAAACATAAATGAAACAAACCACCTAAAGGTGATGACAGAGACCCGTCATTTTAGCTTAGGCTGTTGGTTGGCTGTGAGGTGGGCACGCGGGTGTCCCCAGCACGTGCTTCTGTGAGTGAAAATGATGGATGGCCACGTAGGTCGCAGCTGCCAGATCTTGTAGACAAGACTCCGTTTCCAACATCATTCCTTTGTGAAAGCTCCCAGTGGCTTCTTGTGGACGCGTCACCTTGGTTTTTAAAAATTTTCAGTGTGGGTTTATATATATATATATGTATATATATATATAATATAATATATATTTATATAATATATCAAAGCTTATGAGTATAGATTAAAAAAATATTCAACAGCTTAGTGAACTCTGGGACGCCGGCCCCCTAGATGTCCGGGTAAAACTCGGACCCGTGGTCCACGGTCTGCAGCACCGGCTTCTGCTCCAGCGCGGACATCCTGCTGAGGACCTCGGCGGACAGCGCGTAACTGTTGCCAGACTTCTCCTCAAACCAGCTGTCCAGGGCTCGCTTGGCATCGAAGTTGGCGATCGGCGGGCCATTCACAGCGATTGTCAACAGGTCGCTGAGCTGCTCCAGGGTCAGGCGGGAGCGGTGGTTTTTGCGAACCCGCTGCAGGGCGTTGCGGCCTTTCTCGCAGCAGGCGGTGGAGGTGGGGAGGACTTTGAGGACCTGGATGATTTTGTTCAAGAGCGGGAACCGCTGCTTGTACTTGCAAATGTGGCCGATCAGGTCCTTGAAGCCATTTTTGGTGTAGTAATCAGCCTTGAGTTCCCGCCACTCCATCAACAGGCTGCCCCGGGGGTCCAGCCCCTCCCTACAGACATCCCGGGAGAAGGTGGGGATGGCCTCCAGGTGGTCAAAGATCTGCACCATGTCCTCCTTGCCGTAGCTCATGAGCTCCTCGCTGCTCCTGGGCCAGGCAGCCAGGTCGAACACCTGGCAGGCCTTCACGAAGATCCGGCTGCGGGAATCAAACCTCTGAGCCAGGATCACCTGGGTCTTCTGACAGATCTTCTCCCTGACGGACTGGAACTTGGCTTCGGCCACCCTGAGGTTCTTCATGGCAATCCCATTGAAGCTCTCTCGAAAGTTCTCCTCGAACTCCTGCAGGTACTCCCCCGGGGAGTCGGCCAGCCGGCTGATCTCCTGGATGGCCTCCTCGATCTTGTCGTCCACCTGGGACACCAGGAGGTACTCGCCCTGGAAGACGTAGGCCAGGCGTGACAGCACGGCGATCACGTCCAGGAGGAAGTAGATGAGCTTGATGGACTGATAGTCCATGAGGAACTGCAGCAGGGCCAGTGCGATGGCGGACGCGTCCGCCCTCTGGGTCTGGCTGCTGACGTCCTTGAGGTGGGCCACTACCTCCAGGTAGTCCTTAATGAGGGCGTTGAGGACGTTCTGCTCCCCGATGATCCACCTCACGGCCCGGATGTCCCCCAGGAACTCCGTCTCCTCGCACAGGGTGGAGGCAGTCGAGCGGAGCTCGCACATGAGGCGCGGCGAGTACCGGTAGAAACTCAGCAGCTGTTTCAGGTTGTTCTCCAGCTCCTCCAGGCAGGGGAGCTCCTTCCCGCTGATGGCATCCAGGATCTCGAGGTGGGGCCGGTGCACCATGAAGGGCAGGCACAGCAGCCAGGGCAGCGTCTTGCGGATGGTCATGAACATGCTGGCGCGCAGGCTGGCGGTGACGTTGGCCCCGTCGATGCCCAGGCCCACGGTCGGCTTCTCGTCCTGCAAGCGGATGCCCAAGGCCGAAAAGGCACGGTCGAGTGCCTGCAGGTAGCTCTCGGTGCTGGAGAACCCGAGTTCCTGCAGGGACAGGAACTCCGTGGCCGGGGGCCCATCGCTGCTGGTGTACTGGACGTATACAGCCACCGTGTCGGCCAGCAGGTCGTCGCTCTGCCCGTCCAGGATGATGCTGAGGCAGGGCGACTGGCGGATGCGCTCCACCAGGTCTTCCCGCAGCGCGCGGGCGATGTGATGGATGAGTATCTGGCAGTCGCCCTCGTTCATGTACTGGTCCACCACCTTGAGCTCGCACTTCCTCAGGAGCTCGGCCAGGGGCCGGAAGTCCAGGTAGGGCCTGCCCTCGAGGGCCAGGTGGTAGGCGGTGTTGAAGAGCAGGGTCATGTTGCGGCACATCTCCTCCGTCTTCTCGGGGTGCATGCGCAGCTTGTAGAGCTGCAAGCACTTCTTGTGCAGGTTGCTCTGGCTGTGCAGTTTGATGGTGTGGATCTTGAACTGCTTGGAGCCGATGATGAAGGCCGACGTGCGGGAGGACTGCACCGTGTACTGGCGGCAGACGTGGCACCACATCTCGTTGAGGGTCGGGGAGTACCGCAGGAACCAGAACTTCTTCAGCCACTCCTGCTTAAAGCGTCGGATTCGGCGCCCGGTGGCAGATGACATCTTGGAGGGCTCGTCGGCGGCAGTCAGCATGTCATTGGAGACGGATTCGTCTGCAGAATCGACCTCCTGGTCATCGTCCTCCATGATGGCAGGGCCGGACACCATGCTCTCGGAGGCTGCAAGACAAATGGGAAGGAAGTGTTTAAACTCTGGTGGCAGAAACTCAGGCTTTTCCAGAATGAATGGGATCGCTGCCCGAGAGTTCAGAGCCACCACGGGTGAAACAAAGGCCAATTCCTACGATGGACTGAATCCCAGCCTAGATTTTTTTTTTAAATAGCTGCTCTTGTTATCCACGCGTGACGTTTCCTCTCTGGGGATTACCCAGGGTGGACACCTGCTCCAGGCTGCCTGCCTTTACCCTCCACCAGTGGGCGCTCAAGGAACTCAACCTTCTATAGCAACGGGGCAGCTGGGCCACGGCCACGGCCACCGGAGCAGATCTGCCCAAGTGAACGCGGCACACCCAGCATTCCCAAGTCACACAGCCAGGACATGGGGCTCATTTATCTCAGTGCTAACATGGTCCAGGGAGGCGTCCTGCCCTCGAACGACGGCAGCCTGCCATAGCTTCGGCTTATTTCAGGATCAGAATGCAGTTTAGTTAAGACGCATGCTTTGAATATCTGAAACACCTCATTCTGAGCTCAGGGATGTGATTAAAATAGGAAATTCTATGTAAATACTGGGATTCAGCTGCAGCTGTGTACTGAAAAAAACCTTCCTGGTTGTCGACCGCTTCTAAAAGATCCAGGCAGCCAACAGAAAGGGGCCACATACATACATCCTGTATCCCAGTCCTAAAATCCCAGGCCGGGGAGCCAGGACCATGTGTGGCAGGATGTAATTCGGGAAGAGAAGCACGAGGCTGTGTTCCAGGATTGAGTTCGGGAAGGCTGGGAGCTCTTCCCCCACGAGATGCCCTGCTTGGGGCTGGGGAGACAAAGATTGGGGTTAGAAGTTTTGAGTGTAGGGTTAAGACACCACCAGGATCGGCAGAGAAAGGCAACGGGTCAAGAACACAGCACACACCCCTCCTGCAGTGGAACTTCCTTTATTGACAAGGAGGATACAAGGGCGAGACACGAAGCATCCTACGGGCGCCGCGGAGCAGCCCGTCAGAGGCAGGCACCTACAGGCGTGGGCTGCGACCCGGAGCCCGCCGCAGCATGACACGCCTTAGGCCACCCCCTCCCCCGAGGGTGGCTCCCGCAGAGGGCGCCAGGCCACCCTCACACTGCCCACCGGCTGCTCTTCCCTCCGACCACAATCTCATCCACGCCAACTTACCTGCAGGGTCGGAGAACTCCGGCAGCTCTAGTACCTGTGCTGGTAATACCGGGGGTTCAGGAAGCTTCCCAGACTTAAGCATGTCTAGTTCGGCCTGGAGTTCCCGGACCTTCTTCTTTAGGCGAATACAGTTAGGGCAAAAGGAGGTGGTGGGAAGCTCGTGAGGGTCGGAGGCAAGAGAGGCCTCGGCGGGACTGTCGGCCTTGAAGGATGAAGGCTCTTCTTCTTCATCCTCGAACGGGCCTGGCTCCTTGGAAGCCCCCTGGGGGATCTTCCAGTCCCCTTCCCCCTGGGTCCGGCTGACATTCTGCACACCGTGCGACATGGTCATGGCACACCGACTGTATGCATCGTCCTGGTACTTGGGGACTTTCCTGATGACCAGCGAGGTGCTCAGAGCCAGCTGGTGCGCTTCCACCTTGGCGGATTCCAGTGACGCTTCCAGCACATCCTTGAAAATGAGGTCGATCTTCTTCTTCTTGGCCTGGGGGTGCGCATCCCCCTCGTCAAAGCCACGCTTGTACGGGCTTTTGCCCTGTCTCAACACGGGGAGCTGAATGGGACCCCTCAGGTCTTCTGGGTTATCCAGAGCCTGCTCAGACTTCTCCCTCTGCAACCTCTTCTCTCCTAGGAAGCAAAACCAGGCTGTGAGGAAGGGGGGAAGAGCCCCAAAGTAGAGAAACCAACAGGAAACAGAGCGGGCCTCCTGTTAGGAAGCCACTTGACACATCCCTCTGGGGGCTGGTCTTGTGGGGCAGGCATGACCAAAAGGCAGAGGCGAGTCACTCGGTGGATCCCGGGGTCTAGAGTGGGACCCGAAAAAAGTGGGAAGAATTCTCTAAAAAGACCATTTCAGGGGAGCCTGATGTATATGAGCTGCACATTCATAGGTGGAGGGAATGCTGGAGGGGAGGGCAAGTGGAAGTGCGGTCAGCCTAGGAGGTGACACCCCACCGGTCCAACTGGGCAGATGGAAACACACCTCAGCGCTCGGTGCATATGGATCCCCACCCTCCAGGCTTCTCGTCCAGTCCTGGCAATTGGATGATGGCTGCTTCGACTTGGTAAAAGGTACACAGGACACACCAGGTCTGCTCCTTCCTGCTCCCTGACTGCCTCTCCAGACGGCCCCGCAGGGCAAAGTCCGACCCATGACAACTGTCCTAACTCTCCCAGGACATCAGAAGAAGAGGTGCCCATGAGAGGAAGTGACCTGAACGTCTGTGGTCCTCCCTGACAACTAAGGCAGGAGGGAAAGGGAAGATGGGGTCCCTCGGGGGGCTGAGGGCTCCTGGGGGGCAGAGGAGGGAGCCCCCAAGATAAAAAGCAGTGCGTGACTACACTGACCCAACGCGTTCTTGAAATACAGCCGTGTTTCCTTACCTGATCATTCAAAGGACCTTCCCTTTTCTATCTCTTTCCATCAAATGACTGACTTCAAAAACATCGGTGACCTCCCAACAGTAATTTTAGCCTGATGCTTTAAAACGGCGGACATGGTTTCATCAACTGGGACAGAAGTGTGCTCCCTGGGGGTGCTGATGCTAAAGGGGGACCCTCAGAAGGTCCTGACAGCAGCCTGTGGGCCAGGAAATCTCAGAGGCTTCCTAGGTCAGGACAGCACCCTGCAAGATGACTCTGGGCAGTGACTTGGCCCAAATACACTTTGCAACTAGGCTTCCGAAAGCTGCGTTAGCTAAAAACCTCTGAGTGAAGGCCAACGGATCTTGGGGAGCGATCCAGATGTTCCAGGCTGTGACGGAGCCCTGGCTTCTCGCAGCTGATGAAGGGTGCTGGGCCCTGGGCCCTGTATGAATCCGGGTTTCCTACAGGTAACGGCACAAAAGGGGGTAACCTATTCAGGACACCCCTCTTCTGTCCTCACATGACTGTTTTGAGGAACAATCTCATGTTCAAGGCCCCTGAAAGTCAGGTGGCTCTCACAGCCTACATTTCTGTAATGGCTGAGGGGCAGAAAGGATGGAGATGAACGCTTGTAAAAAATGCAACGTGTTTGTATTACAGATCAGATACGACACTTGCCCTTTCAGAATCTCTAAACATGGAGGCCCACCCTTTCACTGCTCCCGGACCAATCAGGCAGCAAAGAGCTGAGGATGTCGGGAGGTCAAGGCTACACATCCCCAGGGAGTCCTCAGGCCTCTCTGCTCAAAAGACAAGGTCATTCAGATTCCCTAGGATGAGTGGGAGACCTCTTTGGACTCAAGGCTTCCAGAAAAATCTAAGGGCCGATAAAGACCTTTAAAGTATCATGAAATTGATTTCAAAGCCTCCGTAAAAAATGGGGAAAACACCATTGAATCAGTGACTCAATGTAGATCAAATAACATAAATTTTTTGAATACTCGTATTAGATGCACCCTATTCTTACAAGAACACCACCCAGGCATAATTTACACTGTCTTCAGGAAGCGGTTCTGGGCTCTGAGTAATAGCCCTACTTATGAAGGACTAATAATTCATGCTCTGGCCTTTCTCAGGGCTCCAGCCTCCAATTACGAAGAAACCTCTTTCCGCGCAAGAACTTCAGTGAGTGAGTGTAGGGATCCCCTTTCCAGAGCAGGGCTGGCACACCGATGTGAGCCTCCACTAACTATTCAGAATCTGCCAAAGCTACAGGCTAGAGACAGCTACACATCTAAAGGCCACAGAGCTCACCACTGCTCCCAAGAGCTTTAGGACCAAGCCTCACCACTGCTCTGGCCCCGCCCCACGGTGCCTTTCAGTTTCCTACTGCTCAGCCTTGCCAGGAACAGACCCTCCTTCCTCCTGCATCTTCACAGGTCTTCGTGGATTTCATTTCAAAGCTCTCTGCCACGCCTCCTTTGAACCACTCCTGAAAGCTCACTCCCTTCTCTGAGCATTCCCCTTGGGTCTCTGGGCTCTCTGAGGATTACTGCAGCTTCAGGTGCTTTGGAGAAGACCCTGGGGGTGAGGGGAAGGACATTACAAATCCAGAAGAATTCAAGAAGATTATGGCCAAGGGATGGAACCTGTGTCCTCAGATATGACTTCTCTCGGGTTTCTTTTCTTCTGGTGGTAGGATTCTTTTAGAGACTTCTTGGCTGTTTTCATTCATTTCTTCTTTTATCCGCTCGACAAAGAATAATTGAGCACCTACTATGTATCAGACACATTTACAGAAGGCATCTTCAGAGGTCAAATGGAAACCGTGGCAATCTCATCATAGAAACATGCCTTCCCGAGTGAAATCAGAACCCCAGATCCGAAGAAGACAAGAGATGAGTATGTCTACTGGGTCTCCTCACTGCCCATCCGATCACAGATACCTTTTACCAAGTCAGGCAGCAGCTGTGCATTCAATGTCCATAATCTGCTTCATTCTGTTTTGTTTTTTAAAATAGCTTACTTGCAATGGGCCACCCCACCCCTGTTCATCTTCTCCACTTATACTCCACATGAAGATATATTTCCAACAAGTAGGTTGGTCCAGAATGTTATATGGTGGGGCTTGGGTCTAGCCCTGGTTCCTGGAACCACATGGACTCTGGGTATTTGAATATGTATTTTTTTAGTGCAAGGAAGGGCCCCCTGAAAGAAGGAGCCAGACTCACCAGTTTGCCTTGGCCTGGCTGAGGATGGGGTAGGGAGGCAAAGGGCTAGAGCCTGGGGAATATTTTAAGCCACTTTCCAATGATTCATTTAAATGGAGCCTGGATGAACATCTCATCTCCTGGGCACTATCCACCCCTAAGGTCACCTTCCCACCTCCCTCCAGTCTCCTCCTTCTAATAGAGCTTGTTTGTTCACAGCATGTCATTAAGACTTCCTAATGACAAGAAACTAGTTTCGTCAGGGAGGTCATGTAACACTACAGCTTATAAGTCAGATCCTGGGCTGAGACAGACGTGGATGAGAAGCCCAGCACTGCCCTTCCTAGCCATGTGACCCTGGGGGAGTCATTGGACATATCTGATGTCCCGTTTCTACACTTGTGAGCTGGGGATCATAGTCCACATGGGACCATTAGAATTAGAAACTTACAGTTGAGGGCCTGCAGTGGTGAAGGTGGGCATTGTTCTGCACATATGACGTAGTGTTAGCTACTGCTGGGGCAGTGGGATGTCATAGCATCTTTCCATCAGTTTGACTTGGGGAAAGAGGATCAATTTTGATTAAATTTATGTGCTTGCCTTTGGGGCCTCATCTCTCTCAATACTCTAAAATGTCTGTAACAGGGTTTCTGAGGGAGGAGAACACACGGGAGTGCCTGCTGCCCTGCCCAGAGCTGCTGCTCACACCCAGACCACCTGCCTCCACCCAAGTCCCTCTGGGTCTCCCCATCGCTGGTATACTGCATTTCCCATCCGTCCTCTTAGGATGGCTTCCTCTTAGGAAGCATCCGGAGAAGCATTTCCGGCCTCCCCTGTGTTCTGGTGGCAGGTGTGGCCCTCACCTCGGGGGAGGCTGGGCACTCACCTCTGGCCAGATTATGGTGGATGGTCTCCTGGGACATGCTGTGCAGGCGCTTCATGTAGTCCTCGCTGTACCAGACCCGGAGCCGCTCCCCGGGCCGGATGTCCCGACACGCTCGGAAGTAGATGCGCTCACTGTGCTGGAACGCCAGAAGGTTCTGCTCCCTCTCCTCCCGGGAGATGACCACGTACCTGGGGGCGAGGGGGACAGGTAAGAACGCACGGGCCACTCATCAGTGAGTGCCTGCTGGGGCCAGGCATGGTGCTGGGTCGGGGTTGGAGGTCGAAGGACCACCAGCAGGTGGCACGTGTCAAAGTCTAAGGACAGTTGTCTGTCCGAGACCAGTCCCTGGGCTCAACGTCGCCGTTTTATGTGACTTTGAGCAAATCTCCGAGCCTCTAAGTATCTGTTTTCTGAGACTAGACATGCTGCCCTGCCTACCTCCCAGGCTCTGGTAAATATAAAATTCAACACCAGGTACAAACCGAAAACTTGAAAGATTGTGTCATTTATTCCTCACTAACTTTTAAGTGCAGGGGTTCCCAGACACCCGAAGGCCTCTGATGGTGCTAAGTGTGGGGTTATTGGGCTCTTTCCAGTATTTCACAAAGCCTAGCAGAAATAACCCATGTGACAAGGATGCCCAAAAAGTCAATTAATAAATGCTAAAGATCAGTATCTTTAAAAAGTGGGTGTCCAATGCAGACAGAAGATAAAGGTAAATAAGGTGGGGCTTGGGTCTAGCCCTGGTTTCTGGAAGAATCATGAAAAGGAAGAACCTGGAAGAGGTTAGCAGCCACTTGTTAATCTGAGTTATTTTAAGGTTAGGAAACTAAGACTCAGAGAAGTAAGTGACTTGCCCAAGGTCACACAGCTAATAAATGGGAGGTGGAGCTTTGAGGTCTATGTTTTCCCCCACTAGAACTCATGTAAACCCCAGCTCAACAATGCCCTGATAACTTTAAAGTTCCGCCAAACCCTCAGGATCTCTCCCTTACCCAACTCTCCCTGAAATGACATTTCCAACATCCAACCTGCCACCTCCAAAAGACGAGATGGCGTAACACCTACAGAGATACAGAGGCATGTAGAACATAAGGACCAGAGGAAATTATTTGGAGTTTTAAAGATCTGTGCTATGCGAACATCTAGGTAACTTGCAGTCAAAAAAAAAATTATTTCCTTATGCAATGCTTTGTCTCAAAAACCAGGGAAGAAACCAAAGTTTGTCTGACTGGCCTAACTCAAAAAATCGTCTTTGGAGCAGTCCAGGGTAAACAATAATTCACAGAAAAAAAAATCCAAGTGGGTAACGAACAAATGAAAAGTATTCAGCATCACTAAGAAGAAACACAAGGATGCACATTGTCTCATTGGCACGGATTTCTCTCTCTCTTCTTTTTTAGTGATAATATCCATATTGGCTAGAAAAGCATCTCCCATACTAATGGTAGAGAATAAACTGGCACGGCCCTTTGGGAAACAAAGGGGCGATATGGACTCGAACAAGTATTCGTACAGCCACGTTCAGAGCAGCAGGAGTCACAACAGTTGGGAGTGGAGGCTCCCTGAGTGTCCACTAATGGGTAAATGGATAAACAGAATGTGGAACACACATACATTGCGTATCACTCGGCTTTAAAAAGGAAGCAAATTCTGATACATGCGATACCATGAATCAAACTTGAAGACACACACGAAGTGAAATAAGCCAGTCACAAAAGGACAAATACCGTAAGTTTCCATTTATACGAGGTACTTATATGAGTAAATTCATAGAGACAGAAAGTAGAATGGTGGTGGCCCGGGGCCTGGATGGGGCCAGGGGAATGGGGAGTTAGCTGTTAATGGGTATCTTGTTGCAGTTGGGGAAGATAGAGCTCCGGAGATGGATGGTGGTGATGGTTGCCCAATGTGAATGAACTTAATGCGACCAAACTGTACCCTTAAAAAAAAAAAAGTCGCTAAAATGGTAAATTTATGTGTGTTTTGTCACAAGTTTTGCAAAATTTCAAAAAGGACTGTAAGATGCAGACCAAGTAGACAAACTCTGCACACCACCACCCCGCCTGTATCATTGTGCAAAAACAAAAACATCAAAACGTCTAATATTGGAGCAATGGTTTAGTAAACCGTGGTATATTCATACGATGGAGTGTTACTCATCTATAGAAAAACGTTTTCAGGGATCCCTGGGTGGCGCAGCGGTTTGGCGCCTGCCATTGGCCCAGGGCGCGATCCTGGGGACCCAGGATCGAATCCCACGTCGGGCTCCCGGTGCATGGAGCCTGCTTCTCCCTCTGCCTGTGTCTCTGCCTCTCTCTCTTTCTCTCTCTCTATCATAAATAAATAAAAATTAAAAAAAAAAAGAAAAACGTTTTCAAAGGATCTTTCATGACATGGGGAAAATGGTCCTGATAGAATGCAGAGTGAACAGTAGGGCTGGACACTATTTACCCTACGGTTCCAATCGTGCTTTAAAAACAAGCCTCAGTAAGCTACTCGAAGGAAATATACCCATGTCTTACCACTGATTATCATTACAGGTGGATGGATCTACTTTATCATCTTTTTCTGTATTTTCCAATTTTCCTTATAGCAATTACTACAGTTACCCCCCCCACCCCCACTGCCACCCCCTAAAAAAAAGACACACCCAAACGCCAATACCAGTATTGGTGGCAGGTCCTGGCGGCCAGCCGCATTGTGAATCTACATTCACCGAGCCTCAGGCACTGCAAGCTTGAGCACATCCTGCCCCTTGTGGTCGGGCACAGTCCCCTGTGGACTCGGTTCTACTTGGCCCTGGAGGAGGCCATGACCTTCCAAGGGGGATCACTAGAGTCCCGGGACCACTACAGCTGTCAACAGCTGCAGCACAGACCCCCGGGGGGGTGGGGATAAGGCCAAGTGGGTCAAGAGTCCCCACCCCCTTTGGGAGGAGCAACCATGAGCTCCACCCTGTGGCGGTCACACTTGCAAGGATGCGTGGTGCTTAGCTCCCCAGAACTTGCTTGGGTCTCTGAACTTAGCCTCAATGCATCTGTGCTTGTCCTGATGACAAGCACATGAGCATTGGTCGCCCTGAGCTGGAGACGCTACTGTGATATCCATGACACCCAGTGACACCGCTAACAAAGAACTCGGGGGTAGGAAAAGAGGACCCCTGGCCTAGAGAAGTCGTTCTGAACCACAATTTCCAAGTCGCAACTCTCCAGCACAGGGGTCTGCGTTTGTCCGGATCTGAGAGTCCTCCTGAATGTGCAAAATATTTTTCAGCCCCCAATTTAGTGAAAGCCTGGGATCTGACATCTAAAATTAATCATCCTTGTGGTTAGCACAGAACTGGGGTAGATCCAAACTTTCCTACTCCCAGATTCGGACGGCAAACCATTCAATCACCTTCTCTCAAAAGAATCACTTGGAGCACAGAGCACAAGGAAAGAGACACTCTTGTCTCTCTCTCTTTTTTTCTTGTGTTTAAGCAATCATTGAGCTCGAAAAGCTAGACTTATTTCCTCAGGCATTCAACTTTAGCAGCAAAAGAGATGAAGCACACATAACTATCAGGGATTTCTTCAAAAGAGCAACTTCTAGACTACATCCGAAGGTTTAGATGGATTCAGGTCAATTTCCCTTTCTACCTCCTGGTGGTTTCCTGCCCAATAAGACTCAAAGTTTAGGAAGAGAACTCCAAATCTTTGCATTGATCACAATCCTCTAAGACAGATCAAAATTTGCTCAGCATCTGGTTGTATTTGGTTGTTTCGAAACTTGGCACTTGAAATATGACATTTATGGCAACTCTCAGCAAATCGTAACAACCCATCCGGTCAAGGGGTTTAATGGAGCCAGCTAAGCCCCAACACACATTACCTCAAAAGAGATTTCCTCTTTTAAGTATTTTGCAGTAACACCCCATGGTTTGATCCACTCCCAGAATCCTTGTCTAGGATATTCTCTTTAGGAAGAGCAACTCCTGTCCTACTCCATGGCTGCAGACGAGCAAGAGCCCTCCCTGGGAGACAAGGCTTCTAGGGAGTGAACATGTCTCTATCTGTTGAGTTTCCAGGTCACCACTTCTTTGGAAAGCAGGAACCGAGTATGTCAGAAGAAGGTAGAAAATGGCTAGCGCAGGCCACTCTATGAATGCTAGAGCTCATCTGATTGCTTTTCAAATCAGACCCACAGAGTTGGCAACCTTTGAAGCTATTAAGGGGGTGGATGACCGTGGTGGTGATGGGGGGTGTTCTGGACTGGACGTTTCACGATGATAATGGGTTGTTTTTATTTTGAACTCCTTGCTGACTTTGGGTACTGGGCAGATGAGCACTGAGACAACACTTCTGACACCTTACCCACTGTGCCTTATCAAACGCACCCTATTTTCTAGCTGGGTCAGGAAATGACTATCAGTTCTAACCGAAGAGAGAAAATAATCCACAGGGCATCCATTCTGTTGGAGTCGGGGCAGACAGAGGTCAGCCTCAGACGTTCCCACTCAGCGGGTATGTCTCCGATGGAAAGGAAACTGCACCCGTCACAGAGCCAGAAATGGGAAAGAGTGGCCAAGAAGAGGCTGGGCTTGGTTTTCTCATGAGTTTAGGTCTCTGAGGTGGGCAGGTCTTCGGTTCATGCATCCATCCACCCACCAGATGGTCACCCGGCCTCTGACCGAACATCACCCAGTCAGCCCTTCAAGAGGCCTTGGACCCTTGGGTGGGACTCCCCTTACGCTGAAATTGGCTGTGTGTTCACTTCCAACCACCGGTCCCAGTTTAGCCTTCCTGTTTTGACGTGCTAAACCCACAAGCCCCACAGAAGCCAAGGAAAAGAAACTAAAAAAATTTCATCTGAAGTTCACAGGCTCTTCATCTCTCTGCCCCCTTTGCTTCCACTTGATCCCTTCCCTCCCCAGGACCAGAGCGGGGGGCCAGCCAGTTACTGCACGGCACCTAGACCTTGCTGGAGAAGATTCTGGGCCCAGTTTAGTCTCTTTGCCTGTTGCAGAAATCAGACAAGTTTGATTTCCATGGCCGTGATTTTTGGCCAGGAACAGGAGAGTATGACCTGGATTCCAAGAGGTCAAAGGCGAGCTGGAACGTTCCAGAGGCCCTAGATCTTGGGGACTTCCTGCTTGGGAGGACCTCTCTGTGTGACTGGGAGTAAGCCAGGGCAACGCCCAGGTTGG